TGAAAAAGTGACAGAGAAGAAGCTGGAGCACTCCCTACATGGCCACAAGGCCTGGACCATTTAGGTCTCCCACATGGATAGCAGGGGTACGAGCAGTTGGACCATCTTCTGCTTTCCTAGGTGAATTAGCAGGGAGCTGAATGGGATATTGGCATTGCACGTGGGGGTTTAACCTGCTGCACCAAAACCCCAGTCCCTCCAGTTTACTTTCTGAAGTATCCCGCCCTTTCTGAGTTCAGAACCGAGAAATAAAAAGCAAATATCAGACAGGAAGAGACCAAAATGTTATCACTGCTGTCAATAAAAGCTGGATTGGAGGATGTGGCTGAGCTGCAAATATTTCAGCCGGTCCCTGTCGCAGCTGCACACGGCAGGTTCCAGGGCACCCTCTCAGGCAGCGTGGCCCAACACAGCACCGAACCTTCTCAGAACAGCCCTGCACAGGAAAATCCTCTGCTGTCCTGTGCACAAGTGAGCGAGAGGCAGAGGAAAGCCAGGTAGACAGGTTCTTCCACGCTTGGCCCTGCTGGGCACTGCAGTGGGAATCCACTGACTGCCTTGAAAACACACGAAGGAGTAAGTAACTCTTGCAACACCATCTCACGGGGGTGTCAGAGATTTAGGAGGGAAATGTAGGTCAAGCGTGTGAAACACAGGCTCAGAAAAGGTCCCGTCACTGGCATCCATGCCCTGGGCGGCAAGGACAGTCACACGGGCAAGGCCGGGCACCTGGGGGAAACCGGGGCTTAGAAACTGCACACAGCAAGGGAGTTCTGGAAGGGGGATTTCTTTCTCGTTCTCTCTCTCCTTGTTCCCCATGCACAGTTCCCTAAGGGGAAATGTTGACCAGATATGAACTGGCAAGACTTTTAAGCATGGGGATTTTGGTGTTCACCAACACAGGGACTTGGGAACACGCTGTAAAGGCCCTCCCTTCTTTTATGGGCATGCATTTGCAGTTACTTCCGCTATTTTACGGTGGGATTGAGGAGAAGGGGCTATTGTGTGCTTCTCCACACACCCCCCTCCTCACCCCTGACAATTAAGCCATTAAGAATTCCTGGCGGGGAAGTCAGAAGCAGCAAACAGGAACCAGCCCCGGGAAAGCCCTGTCCAGTTCCTAAACAGCACCAATTCCATTGAGCGCAATGAGAAGACAGGAAATAACAAGTCGTGTTGACAACAGGCCTTACTGTCTTACAGCAACTCTGGGTGCAATCTGACAGGCAGGGCATGGTCACCACAGCCCATCAGCTCTGCTTCAGCCAGTCCCAGGGGCCTCTGCCTGCAAGAGCAAGGCTGTTGGCTGTGTGGACACCAAGGGAAAAGCCCAAGGAAAGCAGGAAGCTGTCCATCTGAGCTCAGCGGTTCTCTTCCCTGTTCTGAGTCAGCCCTCAGTGAGGCAGCAGAGAACACCTGCCCAGGGTCCTGAGACACACGGAAAGCCCCAGCAGGCAGGAGCCCAGGAAGCCTTCACCTCGGGGAATCCCTCTTCCCAAGACCATTCCCCTTGGCCTTTCCAACCGCAACTTCTTTGAGCCCCTTCTTTCTCTTCAAGGGGGAACCTCCACAAACAAAGCAGGCTTCCGGGCCTGCAAATCCGGGGTCACTGCATAATTCACACGAGGCTTTTCCAGGGAAACTGAGCTTTAAATATATTGCTAATTTAGCAATAGTAATAGCTAATACAGTCATTTTGTAGCATCGGCAAAGGATGAGTGCCAGGACCTCCCGGTAATACTAAAATCTGTGGATGCTCAAGTCCTTAGATAAAATGATGTCGTATTTGCATATAGCCTATGCACAGAATCTGGTGCACTTTAAGTCATATCTAGGTTATTTCTCACATCCCATGCAACATAAGTGGTAAATGAAGAGTCGTTATGCTACATTACTTAGCAGGACTGGGGAACCACACTCCCACCAAGAGCCATTTGGATATTAATAACAGCATTTGTAGGACATACAAAATGATCAGTTTAAAAATTAGCCTGCTACAGATTTACTAAATTTTGAGTCCTGCTGCGGTTCTCTTGGCAGGACCAGACCAAATGGTTTCATGGGCTTTATACGGCTCATGGGCCAGAGGTTCTCCACCCCTGGTACAGGAAATAATAACAAGAAAAAAGTCTGTCCATGTTCAGTACACACGCAATTTCTTTTTCCAGGCATCTTTGACCCTGGTTTGCTTGAATCTACAGATGAGGAACCTGTGGATACAAGGGACCTATTGCGTATCTACCCAAAGTACCAAGACTCTAGCAGAGGGGGAGAGTGTGGAGAAACAAGCTTGGCTTCTTGAAGCGATGTGGCAATCAACAAGAATCTCCCTACTGCTGCTTTTTCACCTGCTCTCCCCTCCCCCAGCACTGCTCAGCCTGCAGCAAATGGGCTCTGAGCTCCAGGCCCCTGCAAGGCCAGAGTTGCTATGGTCTCCAGCCACCACCAAAATCATCTTTCAGGAACTCATCAGCCTCGTTCTTCAACACATACAATAACCACGAGAGGGTTCCCAGGCTGGGCCAGGAGGTCAGTCAAGGACCGAGTAGAGAGCGCAACACTGAATGACTCTCTGGGGGAGATGCCTGCACCAAAGACACTGAGGGCAAAGGTACCATGGCACAGAAATCCCTGCCATGAACCATCTCTTGCAGGAAACCAGCTTCACAAAAGAAGCCTACAAGAAGCACATCAAAGATTACATGCAACGTGTCGAAGGGAAACTCGAACACAGAACAGAAAGAGCAAAGCCTTTTGTCCCAGGGAGTGCAGTGCACGTTAAGCACACATGTGCCCATTTCCAAACCTACTAGGCCCTGACTGGAGACCATGGCAGGGTTGCTCTGCTGGCTGGCAGTGAGGATGCTGCAAACCCGTGGCTGATTTCCTTTAAGGATGGATGGTTCAGATGTGGGAAAACGTTAGCCACTTTGGCACTGCCTTTGGGTCGACAGCTTTTCCCCCTAACCCGCTGCTGTGTGTCAGCACTCATCATCAGGACTCACAGCAAACGGCACGGATGTCATCTCGAGCTCTTCACTCATCTGGAACATCACTAATGTGGAGTGGAGGCACTGCTTTTAATATTGGGGCTGGCGCTGTGGTGCAGCGGGTTGAAGCCCCAGCCTGCAGTGCAGGCATCCCATACGGATTGCTCCATTTCCGATCCAGCTCTCTGCGGATGTACCTGGGAAAGCAGCATAGGATGGCTCCAAGTGCTTGGGGCCCTGAACCCAAGTGAGAGACCCGGAAGAGGCTCCTGGCTCCAGGCTGGGCCTGCCTCAGTCCTGGCCTGTTGTGGCCATTTGGGGAGTGCATCAGTGGGTGGAAGATCTCTCTTCTCTTTCTTTCTCTCTGTCTCCTTTTCTGCTTCTATAACTCTGCCTTTTAAATAAATTATTTTTTTAAAAGAAAAATATCCTATGTCTAAAAATAAATGTATTTAAACTAGAAAGACTTCTACTATTGCTTCTTTGTGGATGCTTTGTTTGGATAAATGAGTTTTGAGGACTCACCTGTAAGAAAAAGATTCTGGCCGGCGCCGTGGCTCAATAGGCTAATCCTCCGCCTTGCGGTGCCGGCACACTGGGTTCTAGTCCCGGTCGGGGCGCTGGATTCTGCCTTGGTTGCCCCTCTTCCAGGCCAGCTCTCTGCTGTGGCCAGGGAAGTGCAGTGGAGGATGGCCCAAGTACTTGGGCCCTGCACCCCATGGGAGACCAGGAGAAGCACCTGGCTCCTGCCTTCGCATCAGCGCGGTGCGCCGGCCGCAGCGCGCCAGCGGCGGCGGCCATTGGAGAGTGAACCAACGGCAAAAGGAAGACCTTTCTCCTCTCTGTCTCTCTCTCTCACTGTCCACTCTGCCTGTCAAAAAAAAAAAAAAATTCTTCCCGTTACAGCTAACCCGTTTAGTGAGCACTTACTATGTCAGGTATGACATCAATTTTCACAGTGGGAAGTAGGAACTGTAATATTGCTACCCACACTCTACAGGTTAGGAAGTAAGACGGAGAACTTAACAATCCCGCGTCCATCCCTAACTATCTACTATATCCACAACATCTAGCTCAGAGGAGGAAATTAACCCTTTATTTCCCGGAAGATCTGGGAACGGTCTTAGTGCCAACCAAATGCAACCTGTGACTTTACAGAGGGAAGGCACAACTGGAGAGGGGTTGGGGTTTATTTGCCCCAGTCCCAGGGTAGGAGCATGGGTGAGTCCTCAACCCCCCACTTTTTGTGCTCTCCATGACGCACACCCCTCCTTCTCTCTCAGAAGAACTCACTTTCAGGGGCTGCCTTGTAGCAGGTAAAGCTGCCACTGGCAGATACTGCATCCCATATGGGTGCCAGTTCGAGTCCCAGCTGTTCCACTTCTGATCCAGCTCCCCACTACTAGCCTGGAAAAGCAGCAAGGATGGCCCAAGAGTTTGGGTCCCTGACACCCACGTGGGAGCCCCAGAAGAAGCGCCTGGCTCCCGCCAGGCCCAGCCAGAGCTGTTGAGGCCATCTGGGGAGCGAATTAGTGGAGGGAAGTCCTCTCTCTCTGTCTCTGTCTCTCCCTCTATCCTCTGTAACTCTGCCTTTCAAATAAATAAAATAAAATATTTTTCAAAAAAACCCTGACTTTCCAGAATTTGCTTAATTATGTTTTGCATTTCAGTTTTCCATACCTGTTACCATTTTTTCTTTTTCCTGTTAGCATTTTTACCGACAGAAATAGAGGCGGGAAGGGGAGAGAGGGGAATAAGAGAAAGAGAAGTCTCATCGCACTAGCAACGTAAAGCCAGAAATCTGCATTCACCTGATTACCCCAAAGCGCTGTGCCCCTGTCAAAGAAGGCCGCCAGGGGCTCCGAAGCGATCACTTTGCCCTCAACAACCATGACGCTTGCGAGTGACGTCATCCTTCGTCGCCTTTCTCTTACTGCCCTTCCCCAGGGGGCGGCGAGCCTCAGTGACGTCTGAGGGCGGGGCGCGTGCACGGCGGCGGCGGTGGCGGCGGCGGCGGCGGGGCCGGGCCGGGCCCGCGGCGGCGGCGGCGGCGGCGGCGGCAGCGGCAGCGGCAGCAGCGAAGGGGTGGAGGACTTCTCCGCCCGCAGTTGCCACGCTGCGGTGGCCGTGGCGGGATGGTGTAGCCGGGTCTGCGTGCGGGCCGGGGCGAGGCGGCCGGGAACGGCCGACGCCGCCTGAGGGGCTCGGGCGCAGCGGCAGCGCGCTGAGGGGGCGTCGCCGCCGCCGGTCTCCGGTGCTGCCGCCGCCGCCGCCGGACGCCGCGCCCGCCATGGCGTCCCGGGCGGTGCTCGACGAGTTCACGGCCCCCGCGGAGAAGGCGGCGCTGCTGGAGCGGAGCCGCGGCCGCATCGAGAGCCTGTTCGGCGTGAGCCTGGCCGTGCTGGGTGCGCTGGGGGCCGAGGAGCCGTTGCCCGCGCGCATCTGGCTGCAGCTGCGCGGCGCGCAGGAGGCGGTGCACAGCGCCAAGGTGAGTCTGCCCGCGGCCTCGGCGCGCAGGGGGTCCCCGGGCGCCCCCCGCCGCCGTCGCGCCGCGCGGCGCTGTTGCGTGGGACTGGGGCGGGAGCCGCGTTCTCGCGGTCTGGCGGCGCCGTTCCGCTGCCTCAGTTTCCCCCCTTGCAGGCGTTGCTGACGAAAGCATATCTGAGGGCCGAAGGGGGCGCTGCCTGGCCCGGCGTGGATGCGCCGTGCTGAGGGTGTCGCTTGCGGTTCCCTCGGCCCCCAGATGGTGCGCAGGGCCTGGGGCCCTTCGCCTCCTTCCAGGACTGCCCCCACGGGACTTCTGGACCTTTCTGGGATCCCAGCCCAGCTGGAGAATGGGGAAGAACCCATCAGAGTAGTCAATGGTAGATAGCGTTCCGGAGACAGAATGCGTAACAGCGGGTTAAAGTGACGTGGTTCCTCGTGAGGCTGTTGTGTCCGGCCCGGGAGTATTAATCCTGGGAGCGCATCGCAGGGTGTGCGAAGCGCCTCTTTTAAGAATGCCGTGAGGTCGGTTTTGTGGTCTTGCTCCTGTCTTTCTCTTTAAATTAACAGCTGGGGAAACTGAAACTCAGAAACGGTGACTCACCTGTCTAAACCTTTCACACTGCTAACTACCCAACATCTCCCTTCACAAGCCAAAAACAGCAACAGCCCGTGTCCCTGGTAGGACAGAGAACTTTATCCCTACCCTCTGACGGCTCCACAATTGAGTGGCTGAAATGACCTGACCGTAGGCAGATGAAGCGGAGAAAAACCATCTTAGTTGCATGCATGTGCAAGGGAGTCCCGCAAAAGGGAAGCCGGGAAGCAGGGCCAGATGGCCGAGGGGCTTGGGGCTCCAGGTGATGGTCTGTCCGTTTTCCGGTTCCTCCCCTGTGGGGTGTGGAAGATGTGTCCTGAGTCACACAGGGGACTTCGGGGAATGCTGCTCCTCCCATCCAGCGCGGAGGAACCCGCACACCACACGCGCGTGTGTGGGCTGATGCTTCCGGAAGTCCCTTGTCCTCCCTCCAGGTACCTCCAGGTTTCCGTGTCTGGTTGTGGAGGTCACCAGGGTTCAGAGTAGGGCATTGCTTTCCGGATCCATTGGCCTTGATACCTGCCTCCCAGATGAGCCCTGTCGGGGAGGGGAGGATGTCCCGGCGCCCTGGCGAACTCTGCGTCTCTGTCGTCTTGGTGCTCTTAGAGTCAACAACTGAAGCTTGAATGCTTCCTTTAAAAAAAAAAAAGCTATATTTTATTTATCTGAAAGAGTTACAGAGAGAGGTATCTTCCATCTGCTGGTTCACTTCCCAAATGGCCACAACAGCTAAGGCTGGGTCAGGCTGAAGCCAGGAGCCAGGAGCAGCTTCCAGGTCTCCCATGTGGGTGCAGGGGCCCAAGCATTTGGGCCATCCTCTGCTGCTTTCCCAGGCCACAGCAGAGAGCTGGATGGGAAGTGGAGCAGTGGCCTGCTCGTATGGGAAGGCAGCCCTGCAGGTGGTGGCTGTGGCCTACCCTGCCATGCCACAGTTCAGGCCCCTGAGTGCTTGCTTGCTTTTAATGTGTTTACAGGAGGTTGGAACACTGGGGCAGATGAATATTCTCCGCAGCTCATCTGAAAACCTGGGTGCTGAATCCGATTTGATTCCCTAATCAGCTGTCTGCTGTCAGACAGTTGTCTGGTCTTTCCCCAAGCCCCTCCTTTCGTTTCCCGGTTACCCATTTCTTCTGCTCTCCAGGTAGGAAAACACTGACATGACCCGGTCTCATTAGTTCTTCTGCCGTCCCTTAAGCATTGGCTCCTTTCCTTTCCATTGTCTTTGCCTCCACTCTTTTGAGGGTCTCTCACTTGCTTCAGTACCTACTCCCTGCCTCCCTGGTTCTACTTGCATTGGAGTGACTCTGACAAAACCTCCTTCTGCCCGGGCCCCACTGGAGCCTGCTGCCACCTCTCCCCCACTCTGAAGAACTCTGACTTACAGAATGCTTACGAAGCCAGTCCTTCCTTGTCGGCCCGATTTTCTGGTTTAGAAGCTCTTCGCGTAGGCCTCGGTTGTCCAGTCTTACTGCCCCGGTGGTGTGTTCTGTGCTCACCACTGGCACAGATGGAGCTCCACAGAAAGGCCCTGCCCCTGCTGCCAGACACCCCCACCCGGGTCTCCTTGCTGTCTGCGCACAGTTGATGTAAATTAACTGGGAAAGCTGTGTTTCGCCTGATCCTAGCAGTGTGTCAGCTGCTTGGTTAGCTTTGCTGCATGTATTACTCTTGACTCAACCCTCTCAGTTGTACTTTTTCTTTTTTTCCTTGAGGGAAAGAATTGAATGCCACACTGAAGGGCTTTTTTTTTTTTATTCCTATTAATTCAATTTGGAGGCCAAGTAACCATTAGTTTGATTTAAAAAAAAAAATAGGAAAGCAGACTTGATGCAACATCTACAAGGTTTTTAAAAATTATTCATTTATTTGAAAGGCAAAGTTACAGAGAAGGAGGGAGGGAGGGGCAGAGAGAGAGAGCGCACCCACGAGTGAGCTCTTCAATCCTCTGGTTCCCTCCCCCAGATGGCCCCAACTGCCAGGGCTGGGTTAGGCCAAAGCCAGGAGCCTGGAATTCCATCTGAGTGTCACATGAGTGACAGGGGCCCAGGCATCTTGGGCCATCTGCTGCTGCTTTTCCAGGCACATTAGCAGGGAGCTGGATCTGAAGGGGAGCAGGCTGGACTTAACTGGCCCTCATACATGGTGTCACAGGCTGCGCCACGGCGCCAACCCCTGCGGCCACGGTATTTCCATTAAGCTGCTGGGGAGAAGCAGGTTTTGGGAAGGGCAATTTACAGTAAACAAGAGCTCCTAAGCTATCTGCTGCAGTGTGTGATCAAAATAAGTGAGAGCAGCTCTCTGGGTTCCATCTAGTGGCTTGATTTGTTTTCTTAAAATGTTGATTCACTCCTCTTTTGCAAAGACAGAGTAGAAGAGAATTTGGAAGTTCAGTTGGGCCTCAGTTTACCAGAGTGTCAGATGGAGGCATCTGAGTAGAAGGTGGTAACGCTGAGAGAGGTTGGAGAAACGCACATGGAGTGGCCACTTTGGTGAAAGAGTAATTTGTTGGAGGATGCTGCCCCTGGTATCTGGCATTCCAGACAGTGTTGGAGGGTGTCAACCCCTGTGAGAGAAGAAGCCGGGACCCAAATGTCAGGCTAAGACCATGGAGCCTTAGTAGGGAGTCTGAGGAGTTGAGGTGGGAAGAATTTGCCTGAAATCCTAGAGGATAGTTTGGGAGGGGACTAGAAGATTCAGTAAAAAGAAAATTGTTGCAATTTAGAATTGGGGTTGGGGGAGTGAGGTGGCAAGGTTTTTACAAGGATGGGCAACTGAGTGGGTGTAGGGGAGTAGGAGTAGGTTTTATGGGGCAGTGGCAGGAAGGCTGGTTGATACATTGTTTGGTTTGTTGCTTGGAAGGGCCACCAAGCAGCTCATTGTCTCAGGTCCCAGAAAGTGTACTAGCTGTTGCCCCTCAAGGAGAGCCTGGTAGGGGAGAGTGACAGGGAAACAAGCAGTGGCGTGCAGTGGGGGAGTGCACCCAAGGTGTACAGTGACGCACCTCTGCCGAACAAGGTTACAAACAAGTCTTGGCTTCAAACCAAGGTTGCTGGGCCCTAGGCAGAACCAGGAGAGCCAAAACAGCAGGGAGGCCTAGAAGGAGGCAGAGTTGAAACCCAGGGGCAGTGTGTGTGCAAGGCAAGGATTTCTAGGAGAGCGTAGGAAAGAAGTAAACCAGCTACCCTGCGGAAGGGCCCCTCTGAACATCTGCTAGAAGATGTTGAAAGTTCATGCAAAACAAGAAGCAGACCGGAGATGGGACTCCGCTCAGACCCTAGGTCCAAGTCCTTCACACTTGGACCAGTGAGTCCCTGGCAGAGGGAGAAACAGGTGCAAGTTACAGGGAGATGAAGGAGTGCAGTTTTGTTACAAACTCCTGTCCTGCAGGGAGAATGTGCAGGAAATGGCCAGTTCACACTGCTCGGAGGCCTGCTGCAGGACCTGGATTTTAGCCCAGGGACAGGAGGTAGAGAGATTCACCATTCCAAAAAGTGCCTCAGTGTTTGCATCTCTCTCCTGTTAGCAGTGTGGCTCCTTGCTGGTTTGCAGTGATTTTAGAGCAAGTGTCTGGCAGCCTTTACAGCAGTGTGCCAGGACTGCGGTAGTGTGGAGACCAGGAGTGAGGAGGGCCTGGTCCACGAGGGGCTGGAGTGTGTAATGGAACATCATGGAAGCAGAGGGGTTTGAGGATTGGATTCAGAGAGGAATCAGAGGTGCGAACTGGCTGCAACTTCTTTCACCAAGAGAGATTAGAGATGCAAAGCAGCTGGGGTCCTTTCAGTCAGGCACTGGAGGAAAGGAGTCCCTGGAGAGTGAGGGAAGGTAGAACTGTAAGGGGAGGTGACTGCACGGTAGAAGGGCCGCGGTGCCCTGCAGAGGACAAATCCGCACGCATAGTATTAGCCAGCTACAGTTGTGGGTTCAGGGGTGGTGACCGTGGCATTGTCTAGAGGCCAGGAGGCTGCATATCTTTATGTGAAATCTGTTTGTGTTTTTCTAAGTGAGAGTATTTTCTAAAACTATACATGCTATAAATTGTATGAATAAAATATTTCACTAACAGTCTTTTTTAGAAAGTATTTGGGAGGTGGAGAGAGTGTTCCCATCTACTGGTTCACTCCAGATGCCTACAACAGCAGGGACTGGGCCAGCAGTCAGGAGCTGGGAACTCTGGCCTGCTCTCCCTTGTGAGCATGGCAGGGCCCCAGCTACTGGATTCATCTCCTGCTGCCTCCTAGGGTGTGCATTAGCAGGAAGCTGAAACTGGGAGTGGAGCTGGGTCTTGAACTCAGGCACTTGATAGAGGATGCAGGCATCCCAAATGGTGCCTTTAAAAAAAAGTTTATTTGACAGAGGGAGAGGGAGGCAGAGAGGTCTTCCGTCTGCTGATTTCATTCCCTAAATGG